CCTAAAATCGGTAAGGATCAAACCCGAAGCCATGGGCGGCAAGCCTCGATGCTTGAAAAGGGCCAAACAAAATTCCGCAGCAAAACACCATGACCACTTAGATTTCTAAATCTGAATCCGAACCTTCGAACAGCTAGCCCACCCTAGTCCCGAAAACGGTGGTGCTGAGTGGACAACCATCGTAGACCCCAAAAGGCAATAAAACAAACCTTAACAGGGAAGCCTAGCACCCCATGAGCCCTCAACTCAACCTCATTACGGAAGTAACTAAACCCTAACAGAGGGACACCCGAGACGATGGGCAGCAAACCCCAAAAGCCTAAGCAGAAAGATGAACAGCTGCAGAATGAAACCAAAACCTTTTTCAAAACATCTCGACACGCCTAAACCCTAAAAATGCTGCGGATCAGACCTGAAGACGTGGGCAGCAAGCACCCATAAGCTAAAACATGGTCTCAGCCCAACCTTCTTACAGAAACAACTAAAACTGAACGGCAACTGATCATCCAGCCAAAGCTTAAACCCTAAAATCAAGTGGGTCGATACACAGCACACCAACCCTCCACAAAGTGCTCCGTCACAAACTGCAAGCAGTGGGCAGCAAACCCCAAATCCAAAAGAAGGGACAACCCCACGATGCACAGCAAACGGAACTCCCTACAACACTGCTGCACAGCAGAAGCCCGAAACGGGCACTCAGCATCTTCTAGACAGCCCGAAACCCTAAAACAACAGTGAGGATCCAAACTACGAGGGCGGGCAACAAACTTTGATGAACTTCACCCACAGAATGAACCCTCAACTCAAGTCCAATAAACCAAACCACATCCTGGACAAAGCGATGCGTAGACGATTCCTGCACAAAGACTGCATCTAAGCGCTAGCCATCACGAAGCTCGAAAAACAGCGACACACCCGAGCAAAAATGACAGCAAAGCTTAAGCCCCAGAACAGCAGATGTGCGGTACAAGGTAAAGCACTCTTTTCCCACCCTAAGCCCTGAAAACTGGTAAGGATCAAACCCGAAGCCAAGGGCGGCAAGCCTGAACGCTTCAAAAGCGCTAAACAAAAATCAGCAAAACACCATTCACCATTGTCAGAACCCCTCAATTCCACGTTACCACATCGGCTTCCAGATCTACATCACATCCGAAGTTTCAAACACCTGGCACACACTGGCCCCAAAAAAGCGATTGTGAAAACTTCAACAGGAAAGCCTAGCACCCTGTGTACCCCAACTGAACCTGATTACGGAGGTAGCTAGACCTGCAATTCTCATTGCACATCGTGCCATCCCTAAACCCTAAAACCTGGTGAGGACCGAACCCGAAGCCATGGGCAGCATTGCTGCCAAGGGTCAGAAAGGCATAAGCAAAACACAGTGATGTTTCAACTCAACGTTGACACAGCGATGGTCTAACCTAAATCCGACTTGTCAGACACCAGCCCACACTGGCCCCGCGAAGCGAACATGAAAACTTCAAGAGGGAAGCATACCCTCAACTCAGCCTCATTACGGAAGTAACTAAACCTCAAACAGAGGGACACCCGAGACGATGGGCAGCAAACCCCAAAAGCCTAAGCAGAAAGATGAACAGCTGCAGAATGAAACCAAAACCTTTTTCAAAACATCTCGACACGCCTAAACCCTAAAAATGCTGCAGATCAGACCTGAAGACGTGGGCAGCAAGCACCCATAAGCTAAAACATGGTCTCAGCCCAACCTTCTTACAGAAACAACTAAAACTGAACGGCAACTTGAGAAGAGGGCCACGAAAGCTAGGGGAGAGGAAGCGTAGCTGCGAGCAATTGGGGCTGAGTAAGGCGGGGGACACATGTGACATGAGAGTACTGTCGAACACGAGGCCGAGGCGACAAGGTACGTGGGGTTCAGTTTCATGGAGTGTCAGCTGGCTGAAAGATACTTTGGATTTTCAATCCCAAATTCTGTAACCCTAAGACGCAATATTAGAAGCCAACAGGCCACATTCAGTTAGAAGGTGCTGCCGCCATGCTGTAACGGGAACCACCGGGTTGGCGTTGCGATCTGGAGGTTTGTGCTGGTTACAAGTTTCTGTTACGGTTGGAGTGCAAGTTGATAAACTTCAAACACAAGCAAACTCAGGGACCTTGTGGAAGGAGGGGGGGGGGACCTGTGGGTAGGGGGGGGGGGAGCCCCCCCCCCACCTTGTCCCACGCGCCGCAACCTTAAAGGTGGGGGGGGGAGGCGGGGGGAAACCACACCTTGTCTCTTCAAAATGCTTCATGAGCGAGGTGAGGGGGGGGGCGGCCCCTCCTCCCCCCCACCCCCCCACCTTAACTCTTGGACGTCCCACCTGATAAGGTGTAAGCCCTGGTTTTGCCCTAGTGCCTTAATACAAGGTAGACCAAGTGAAAATTGATAAAGGGCAACTCCCGCGAGCTCAACAGAGCTAGCTTTCGTGACTGTTTGATCATCCAGCCAAAGCTTAAACCCTAAAATCAAGTGGGTCGATACACAGCACACCGACCCTCCACAAAGTGCTCCGTCACAAACTGCAAGCAGTGGGCAGCAAACCCCAAATCCAAAAGAAGGCACAACCCCACGATGCACAGCAAACGGAACCCCCTACAACACTGCTGCACAGCAGAAGCCCGAAACGGGCACTCAGCATCTTCTAGACAGCCCGAAACCCTAAAACAACAGTGAGGAATAGACCAAACCACATCCCGGACAAAGCGATGCGTAGACGATTCCTGCACAAAAAACAACTACAACTCAGAGACTGCATCTAACGCTTCAAAACGGCCAAACAAAAATCAGCAAAACACCGTTGTCAGAATCCCTCAATTCCACGTTACCACATCGGCTTCCAGATCCACATCATATCCGAAGTTTCAAACACCTAGCACACACTGGCCCAAAAAAAGCGATTGTGAAAACTTCAACAGGAAAGCCTAGCACCCCGAGTACCCCGACTGAACCTGATTACGCCTACGGAAATAGGTAAACCCTCGACCCTAAACAGAGCGATACCAGAGACGATGGGCGGCAAACGACTGGACTGACTGGTTGCACACAACTAAACTGTGACCCTCGGATTACATACCTCTCACCGGAAGCGATCCCTAAGCCGTAGAAAAGAGTGATGCAAAGTTAATACAAAGATACAAGCAGCGAAGCCTAAGCAAACAGATGATGGGTTAGCAGAAGATGAACCCTAACTGCACGATGGCGTTTTGCTCCATCTACCTAACTCCGAGCCTTGCACAGGAACGATGCATACATGCAAACCCAAAGCCGCAAGCAGCGAAGCCTCTGCCCCCAAAACGGTGGGCAGCACAAGACAGGCACAAAACAATGGTGCGGAGTTGAACAAACAAACTTTTGGCTCAAGGACTGAGGAAGCGAGATCAAACCTGGCCAAGGGATGCACATCGCACCCTAAACCCTCAACTGAACCTCATTACAAAAATAATTAAACCTTGCACTAAACAGAACGATGCATAGCAATCTCGAGGCGAAGGGCAGCTCGAAAGAAGCGTTCAGGTGAAACAACCTGCCAACCCTGAACACTACAAGCCAAAAAAACTTCTAAACGTCACATGAGAAGCATCCGGGATACACCATGACCTTTGAGTCAAGATTAACCTCCCGAAATTTAAACCATCGGAGGAGGGATGCATGGCAAAGCCCAGGCGATGCACAGCAAGTTGACCCTGAAAACAGTTGATTCCAAGCACACCACCAAACCCGCAAATCCCGCAACAACCTACCCAGCCCGGAACCCAGAAAGGGTGCGAATCACACTCGAAGCAAGAAGACACCCGAATCATCTGAATGATAGGGCACCATAAACCCTGGCCTCGACCTTACAAACAACACCCAAAACTACACTACGCCCAGAATACCGAAAGCTGTGGATCGCACACCCTTAACCGAGTTGATGAGAGCATGAAATCAAATCAGCTAATGCTATGACGCGTGGGAAACCCGAAGCGACGCAGCCACAAAAATTCATGGCATCAGAACCGGACGGCAGCACACGATAAATCCCAAATCTGCAGCCAACCCTGTACTGTAAGAAGACAGATCCGCAGCAGACTCGCGTCTCACCGGCATAACTCGACAAATGCTACCCAGAATACGACAGGTTTTTGTGTGTATATTATACACATACATATATAACTATATATATATATATAGATAGATACATATATATATATATATATATTATATTTATTCATATACTTATTTATTTGTTTTTCTATGTGTATATATACATATATATATATATATATATGTATGTATATATATATATATATATACGAGCCAACCCTACAATCTGAAAAGTCTATGTGAACAAACCACGATCTCGTCTGAAAGAGAGATTTGTAGACTGGGGGAGGTTGCTTCCAAAACCGAAGGAACGATGAGTGGCATCGTCTGGCAGACACGAAGAGCCGACAGCAATGTATGGAATCTGGGCACACTCCTCGCTGAAACAACTCTTGCACCGCAGATCTACGGCTCCAAATGTGGCGACGCTGCTACGACCAGGAACCGCGAGTTGTTCAATTCACGCGCTGTAACTGACAATATGCAACATCTTTGGGCTGCCAAAATATTTCGTCATTCGCTCAACTGCGACTAAACCGCGCATGGAAGGTGCTTGGCCGTTAGCTAAGAGTCCAGACGATTCCCTCGATATCGTTCTAGATTGCGACACGAATATGCTGCCAGGAAGGGTGCCTTCACCTTCCGCATTCCCGACAATCCGAATGCGAGAAGACAGCACAACAGTCTGTAGCACTACGAGGCTGACCAACGCGCATGCTTCCGACCTTCGCTTTGTCGCTGTCGGTCGATTCGTGACAGCTGAATTATGGCGCTCTTCAAGCGCCTCTCTTTACTAAACAAATCCTTCGTCACGACTCACATACCCTCATCGCTCGGCTTTGCATGCCGCGTCTCTTGAGGATACAGGCACGACATGTCTCTCTGACTCTGCAGACCTGTCCTGAGTGTCTTGAGCAGCTCCGGAGGATGGCAGCTGCGTGTGTGATGTGTCTGGGTCATCGTCCGGCTGACTACCCCGCGGCTGATGGCCATGCCGGCCTGAAAATCCGCTTCGAGAATCCTGGGTTCAGGACACACGGCAGATCAGCAGAAGACCTTCTTTGAAGCTGAGCTCACCACATGCCACAGGGAAGCTTCTCTTTGTCCGGACAGTTTCCTTCCACTTCACAAATGTCCACCTCAAAGCTGCGATGATCTTCGCAAGTCTGTATCCCAGCAGCCTGCGAGTCAGGGAGCAAACGGAATCACAGTGGCTTCAGTCTAGCATCCGCCTGCCCGTGCGGTACATGGGCACAGTACACCTTAGCCCGGCCGCAGCATGCCCAAGCTGAATGACCAGGACACAAATCCGGGGGCGCAGCAGGCTGCTCCAAGAGAGAGCCTGTGCCATCCATGTTGTCATCTACCTCGACAGCAATTCCATGCTGCCTTCACCGTGGTCCAAAGGCTAACCCCTAACCAGCCCTAACCCCTTCAGATCCAAGAGGCTGCGCCAACTCCTGTAAAGTTGCCGTCTCCGTAGATCCAGTACAGGCGTTTGCTGGGCCGCAGGGTGAACAAAGCCGTCACCCGCTCCGCTTCTTGCCCAGGCCCAGCACCTCTGACAGAGAAGAACGCACGCAGCAAAAGGGACGACGGATGGTCTCCGCAGCCGCCCTCCGCAGAGGGCGCCCGCCTTCCGGGAGGACCTCGGCTTCGGGTCCCGCTCGCAGCTGTATCCGGCGCGAGGTTCCATTCAGGTTCACGGCCGCATTGAAGACCACCTGCCAAGCAATGCTGGCCCTGGCAGCCTTTCTCATCGCTACGACCGCTATGAAGTGTCCGTTTGAGCCTGAAGGAAGCGATCGTCGTGTAGCCATGTGGTGGCTTTCGGGGATGGCCACTTCACGCAAAAGTCGAGCTGCAGGTCCTGCGATGGCAACTGCATGCTCTACAAAACGCACCAAAGCCAAAGCCTGTCGTTCAGCTGGGCTTCCTCGCACAAGGGTGTTTGGCTGCTGCACGAATTCACTGCCTGCCAGCTCGTCTTCAACCGCACAGCCACAGGAAGCCATGAGCCATGGTAGGTGACTTCGTGCCTCCATATCCAAGTGGAAGGTGTAGCAGCATCCAGGTTTCAGATCTCTGTCAGGTCGGAAGATAAGGGTTCCTCACTTTGGGGGGAAACCCGACATGCTCTGCATGAGGAACAGAAAGCTTCATGCGTCGTGTTGGAACTGTCGGCCCCAGTGTTTGGGCGGAGACGTCCGCGCAGCTTTGTTTTGATCGTCGCACAGTAGTGGGTTGCAGAAACTTTTTGTTTTCAGATCTCCGCCTCAACCCAACGCTTGGGCGAACACATGCCGACAGCCGCTAAGTCGGATTCAAACAAAGCTGCTGCCAGTTAAATGGCACCCAACGCCAGAAGAGCGATGGAAAGGACAAGTGACAGGGAACAGGAAAACTCTCGAAGAATTGACGCCATGCAACTTGAGCTAGTGCAGCTGGGACTCTTCCAGGCATTCGCACCTGTGAACTCAGCATCTAGCAGATTTGATCACGTCTCATCTGCCCTGCGCTGATACGCTTCGGCCTCCGAGACCGGAAGAGAAGCCGACACCAGGTCGTGTCGGCAGACTGCATCGCTCAGACTTGGAAGCTCGAAACCTGGCACAAAAGCGGCGAGGTTGCACAACTTTCACTTTGAGTGCGACAAGCTGCTTTTTGACTGGTTTCTGTGGAGGAACCAAACAGTCGACTGGAAAGGGACAGATCGGACAACATCTCACATTCATAAACTGATTTGAGCTGGCCATATCTAGATTGAAAGAAAAAATCTTCACAGCGCCCTGCACTGTTGTTTGTCTAAGCCTGGCGGAGCTTCGCCGAGCCGACGAGAGGTTGCTTGATCTGGAGTTCCTTTCGTGCTCCAATGCACTCACACCATCGTCTCAAGCAGCCTTAGGCCTTCTCCCCCCCCAAAACCCCCCAACTCCAGGCTCCAGATCCGACGAGGGTTGCCGTCTCCTTTTCCTGCAGCCGTACCTGGAACTCAGCCCTTGCCCCTTGCTGGAGTTCACGTGCAAGCACAAGTTTTGCGCAAGATGTGCGCAAGCTCGCAAGCAGCACACAACGGTCAAAGTGAAGGACGATGTAGTCCAAACCTGGCCTCGTCTGCACGTCACGTTCTCGGGTGCTCAACCATTGTCACGAGTGGCTGAGGCAACAATAGCCCAGGAATACCATGTTCTCAGCTTGTGCCTGCAAGTGTGACAGACCTGTAACATTGGCTTTGACGATTGGCACAGCTGTGCCCCACCCTGAACATGATTGAAAAATTGCAAAGCCCCAGTGCAGAGACTTTGTTCCAACTTGCACGAGCGCCTTAGGGACTTCAGTGATTCAGTGCCCTCTCCAAACTCATGTTAGGTCCGAGATCGCGACTTCACGTTGACTTCACCGGGCCACGGAAAAGTTGTCACCACTTGCCTGGTAGTTGGTAGTGCAACTGCACTTCGGCAAGATTGATGACCTAAAGACAAACCAGCCAGGCTTGCGGGCAACTGGTTGTCTCCGGGGTGGCCATTTCAAAAGTCACGGGTCCAGCAATGGGAGGACCATAAGCTGCCATGGCCTTTCGTGCAAACTGTTCAACAGGATGACATACCAGAACTCTGACGGGTGAGCTAAGTCTCCAGCCACTTGAACTCGCAGGCCCTGCAAACTTCGTGCATGCAAGAGGTCCCGTGGCAAAGCTCTCTTTCGAACAAGCTGTAAGGTACCGCAGGGCATCGCAGCCGTATTGCTGAGTGTCAGCTTCGCAGGTTTAGCGGTGCCCTCAGACCCAAGGCCTCTCTTGGAGCCGTCAAAGCTTGTGGCGCGCGCCACAAGCTTCCCAACAGCGCCTTCAGGGGAACATTACATGAGCTACACGTGCAGCGTAAGCTTTCGCAATGCGATCAAAACCCCTTTCGAAAAACTTCTGAGATTCGTTCAAACGTAATTAAGACCCTTCCAAAACCCGTTTAGATAAGATTCAAACCTTTCAAGCCCTTCTGAACCCCTCAAAACGTCATTCTACCTCTTGAAAAACTCCTGTGCATCTCATTTCAAGATACACCCGGAAACCATTCAAAAATCCTTCCGAAACGTTTCAAAACTCGGGACCGCATTGCCCGTCAATACCTGTGACCAATTTTCGACGACAAACGTGGAGTTCGTGAGCAGAGCTCTGCCATTTGGCAGGAGCTCGTCAGCACACTGCCGCGAGCCGGAGACGGGACACGAGACTTGCTCGAAAGAAGACTGTGCATGGCACTCACTTGCGGTGATCACCCGTACCGGCCAATAGCCTGAGCTTCTAGCAGATTCTAGCAGCCTAGCACTCCATCCAGCGATAGCTAAGGGCGCGCTTTCTTCACATCCCAGTTGCCCGAGCTCCGCGACCAAGCGCTCCAGACTTGCCTTCTCGGCCATCCAAGCAGAGAAGTTCTCCTGGCATACGCCTGCCGCGTGCCGAGCCGCGCGGGGAAAAAGCCATAACTTGATAGCGCTTAAACGCTTGCTGACGGGCCTTCGCAGAGCTTAACGCACAAAAGCTAGGAGTGTTTCGTGCTGCCGAAACACAATCGAAGTGTTCGCAAACCCAAGCAAGGTTTCGTAGCCCACCCTCGTACATCCATTCAAGCAAAGATCCAAAGGAAGCTCAAGAAACCGCCCACCTGCTGCAGTTGAGCTTGGCTCTGTTAGCTTCTGCATATTCTGCAGTTCCTGACAGGAGGTGCCCGTGTGCTCCGCGAAAGGAGCTCTGAATCATACGCACAACGGAGCCGGCCTCCTGAAAGGTCTGGTTCAAGGAAGTGAGATTCTTCGAAATCTGACGCTGAACAATGGCTTCGACTTCCTTGGCAGGCACGGCACCACAACATGCGTTGAGAAATCCTCTTCCTGTGGACACCAAGACTCAGTAAGTGCATCTAACTCGTCCTGGCAATATCGACGCAAGTCCTTCGGAGTTACGCGCTTTGCAAATGTCAGAGAAAGGATCTTTGCTTGGTCTACTTGTGCAGACTAGGCCTGCTGCAAGAGGAGGGAATGCACCCTCAAGCGGGATCCCCTCACAGAGCAAGTGAGAGTTGGCAGCAAAGGGTATTGGCACCAAACATATGAAACATAGTTTCATTCCTCGCCTTAAATTCAGCATGCCTTCGACGAGCTGATCCAACGACAAGCTTCCATTGCGTTCTGTGTCGAGCAGATTGAACAGATCGTTGGCCGGTAGTTCAGGAGACACCTGCGTAGCCATGCGTACCCGGGTGGTAGTGCGAGCAGCATCGACTTGCATGCCCCGTGTCCTGTGCTTCTGGACTTCTGCAAATTTGGGCCGGAATCCCGGAGGCCTGCAATTTTTGCAACCAGGCTCTCATTTTGATCGTCTCCATCAAGCCCGCGAATATGTCCACCTGCGCTGGCATGCTCGTTTCGGGCGAACTCGCGACGGCTCGACACCAAGCTCCGAACATCTATGTCGTCTTCGTAGAGCAGTAACTCACACACGTCCTGCTTGAAGGCAGCCTTTTCTTGACGAAAGGCCTCCAGGAGTGAAAGCAACCAAGCAAGCAAGCAACCAAGCTGGCCGACCACAGCAAGATTATCAACACGAGCAACAACGGATCATGCATCGTGCAACATTGTCCACAACACAAGGTCTCTATGCAAAGTCAGCCAACTTCGCTACCGTGTCTCAAGACTCGAAAGCCAGAAGTCTTTCAGAGGCTCCTGGACTCAAGTGTTGTGCACCCCTTTTTGTGTAACACCCTCCTCCATCTCATCCTCGGTGTCTTCTGATGTGGTAACATCTTTAGTGCTCAGAAGCCTCGGTGCAGTGGCAAAAAGCTGCCTTTCAAGGAGAAAGTTTGGCTTTCCATACCAAGGGACTTTTCGGCGATGACTCCCGTGACCAAGTTCATCAGCGACATGCTCGAGATACAGATGAATACCTGGTAAATGCAGGCGACATAGCTCCTAGATAATTGTTGAAGAGTGTGTCCGGGTTGGGTTAAGAGCGTCCCGGATATAGGACTTAGGCTTGAGAGGGGTCTGGGATGCAGGGTTTAGGGTTAGTCCGGGATTTGTGGCTTAGGGCTAAGAAGGTCTGGGTTTAAGGTTTAGGGTTAAGATCGTCCGGGTTGGGCGAAGTCGGTCCGGGATATAGTGCTTCGCATGACTCAAGCCCCAACAAGGCTTTAAACCCGTAATCTCTGCTTCAAAAACCCCATACGGGCAACGAGGTTTCGTGGGCAGCATGGCTTTAAAGGCAATAGTCCTGTCAGTTGGCAACAGCTCACAAGCTAGTTGCCTCTCAACAAAATCTGCTATGGATGACTGCATCGGAGACTCCTAAAGCATTGCAAAGCATTACAGGCCTCAGAGTGCAGTGAACTGCTCGGCTCTATGAGAGCGAGCTGCTGGATCTCCGCCCAACACTAGACAGGTAACTTTATGCAGAACCTGCAGTTTTTTTTGCATGCCATGATTTGATTCTTGTAGGCTGTGTAAGCAGTCCGACGATGTTGCAGGTTTTTTCTTGCAGTTCGACTTCCGTTTCTCTCCAACAAACCCCCAACTTCCTGTTCACCTCAGATTGAAGCGAGAACTGTGGGTCCTGGCTTTGACAAAGTGTAGCACTAGCAAGCTGTGAAACCGAATAATTAGCTCTAGTTCTTGCTAGACAGGGAATATTCGTGAGTGTTCTGGCATCGACGATCAGAAAAGGCTCCAGACATTGTGTAGGCCAGCAGATGTGTCACAGCTCGATTTAGAAGCAGCAGAGACCTAGCTCCGCCGGCAGCAATTGGTTCTCTGTTCGTTGGAGCTCAGAGCTCCGCAAAAATTGTGTGAGTCACACTGATGCGTCCCATTCACGGCAACCTTTAGTAAAAGCCGAAAGATTGGTGCGCTATGAAGTGAACACTGTGATGACCAGCCATGAAACTTTCGGCTCCTGAAGACAAGCTTCAGAGTGCACAGCATACAGACATGCATGGATGTAGCTTCAGAATTCCACCGTTTTTTCAACGTACACAAGCAGTCTCCAGCAATCAACGCAGCCCGTTGCAAAATGCATGGGACTGCCAAAACCATGTGCAGCAGGGTTTCGTAAAGAAGCAGCAGCAACCTTGCTGCAGAACACTGGTCACTAGTAAGTGTGCAACGTTGTTGGGCCGAAGCCCACGTAAAAATTGCAAGAAAGACCTTGACGATCAAACTTGACGTGAATTGGAGTAGTGTTCAACTAGCAAACAGCGCACCTCCGCTAAGCGTCACTGATAGCGCTACTGCCCGATCGTGAGAAGAGATGTGACAAGTAATAGCGAAAACAACAAACACCGACCGCTCCACACATCTCCACACCCACGCCAGCAGAGACACTACGAAGTAGACGCCCCAGAGTGGACTTGCCACAGATAGAACGGTGTCTGCGATGTCGGGCCAGGTCTCCATGGTCACGATGACAAAGTGGGTCCACAGTGCCAGCCCAATTGTGCCAAAGTAACCTTCAAGTTCAGGAATATTGCCGAGCAGTATCACCGTAAACCTGGAGGGATCGCTTGCAAACGTGACAAAAATATGCATGTAAGAACAAACACACATGCCAGCGTGCGACTTGGTTCGCCTATGTCCTCGCACGAAACTCGTACTGATGTATGCAGACATGGTGTGCCAATGAACCGCACACATGACACTCAGGCTTGAAATTCAGAACTGTGCTACCTTGCACTAATTCGTCTACCAAGCAGCATAGTCCCCAAGTATACCACAATGGCAAAAAGCACTCCAGCCCAGACCACGGTTGGAAGAGCCAACATCATGCCTAAGGTGTAAGTCCGTGTCGGGTGTTGCCCGCATAAGAACTGCGACATTGAATAAGAGGCCGGTACCGGTGACTAACAGTCTCAACTCTTGGCAGACCAGGAATCCACGCAGAAGCCTCGAGAAATCCAGAGGCCAGCAGTCTGGTGAAGTTGATATGAAGCACATCAGGCCTGGCGAGTCGCAGAAGACGGACGATGCGCATGACGCCAGCGATGGCGAGCACAGAGCCGCTGCCATCCTGCGGAGATTAACGTTCAGTCGCTCGGCCTGCGCAACTTGGCTAAGCCTGGGCATGGACGATCACATGCTGACGACCGACAGTACGCCAAAACTTAGCACCTGTGACATCATCGCGAACACCACCGAGACAATGTTCTCAACAGTGCCAATGAGAATGATGACAGCATCCTGAAGTCGTACAGCTTCGGCAAACCAATCAGAAAGCTAAACTCTGACTAACTTGACAACGGTCGCAGCTAAGGCACGAAAAAACCAGCAGGATTGAACGGAGAGCAGTATCTGCCATGTCTGTTGTGCGACCGGCAACAGAAACGAACAGGGCAGCACACCTTATGCCAACTGATCGCACACGCAAAACGATCTCCAGCACAAAGACCGTGTTAAACACCACCTCAGTTTATCACCGACTGGCTGGAAGCATCGAGAAGCCAGCAACACAACTAAGCCTCAGACATGACAAATCAGAAATGCCTGGCAGCTTTCAGGTATTCAGCATTGTGCAGCTGTTGTCTCGGGTACATTCTCGCATGCTGGCAAACGGTCCTCGAAAATCCTGAGCCTCATGGGTCAGCAAGGCATGAATACAGTCAAGACACCTGCGCAAGGGTGCTTGCCACATCCGCATGGTTGGCTTCAATCCTTGGCGGATCGTTGAAACTTTCAAAGGCTTCAAATGCGGATAGCCTACAGCCGGCATGCCAATGACTGTTCGACGCAGCCTGTTCCTCTACAGCTATGCCTCTGGGCTCTGTAAGTTCTTACGCCACCCGCTTGCAAAAGAAAGGCGAGAACCCGTACTGTGGCAAAAACTTTCGGAAGTTCGGGGCAGGACATGACCGACAACGTGCTGCGTTCCATGATCGTCTGAGTCGTATGGACCGAACTCCTCAAGCGTCTATGACTGTGACAAGCTCAGGGCTTCTCGCCAAGGATCTCGAGCTCAAAGCCGATAAAGACGGCGTAAACGGTAATCGTCACCGCGATCAGAATTTCTGCCTTCCGACGTCTTCCGACTTCCGAGCATTTCAGTTACGACTCTTTGCAGGCCTGGCGCGTCTCGATCCATTGCTTCTCCTGCACTTGCCCAGCACGCCTTAAGAGCACGACAGCTTCGAAGGCACATCCAGCAGCAACTCCGCAGCAACTCCGAGCTGCGTTGCAACCGGACACTGCCGGAAATCTTTGCCTACTCCGTTGCAGAGAGGTTGCTGCAAAATGAGATCCAGCTCCTTGAGCACCCTGGAGCTTTGCCTAAGATCGCACAAGCTTCCGACCACAAGCCTGGGTTGTCTCTATCAGTACATTATGTGAGTCAGCGCTTCCTTGAGCAAGCGATATGATACAGCTGTTGACGATGTACATGCAAAACTCACTAAGTACCTTGCCAACAAGACACGACTGCTTCACAGATACTGCAGGCTTCTGGACAAACCAGTAAAGAAAGCGCAAAGAAGTTCAACCCTGCAGGACTACGAGATCTGTGACGAAACGAACACAACTCGCAAACAGGGCGGGGGTTGACTTCCTACAAGCCCAGTCTCTTTACTTCTTCTGCTTGCAGGTCAACCTGAGCACCAGCGAAGTGTGGCAAGTTTGGTAGAGCCCCGCAGAAAACGAAGCTCAGCTTTATGCCCACAGGCTCATGGCAAGGCTGCGGAAGTTGAGGACAATGCAAGAGAGTCTCAAGGATGTGAAAAGTGCTCTTTGTGCAGATGTGTCTTCTTGATATCCACGGTCTGGCTAGGTGCTTTGCAGTGTGAACATGTGTGAACTGCTTGGGCCAACGGCACTCACATCAAAGGACCATCATCCTGTCCCGGCGACATAGTGCCGTTTCAAACGTGGTGGATCCTTACATCCAACAAAGCCGACAGAAACCGCCTTGAGAGTAGAGCTCCGCATCCCAGACATCCCATCCTGCCTGCTTGATAGCCGTTGACGCGAGCTCCAAGTTGGCTGCATCTTTCGCCTGCCCGGCCCCCCCTTGTTCGGCGAGCACGGACTACAGTATGGGATACTATGGCGCACTCACGCTGGCCCACTTGTCAGAGTGCTTGGTTTTGCATGATGCCTGTTGTGCTTGGCGGTGAATTCTTGCCCGCCCAGACAGCACCATGCTTCGCTTGGAAAATGGCTGTAGTGCCAGATTCTGTTTGTTCGGTCCCATGCAGGACGCTTCGTCCATCCTCCGCACGCGACTCAGCGACCACAAACTTGCGTACGTGTGGAGTCACTAGGTCCATTGAGGGTGCAGGCTTAATGTGAGACTGAACCCCGACATGCACAAGCCTGCTGGCCATCTTGACCGAATGTGGCTTGCATGAGGACCTTGGCCGAGTCCGTTTACCGACGGATGACACGGTTTGACTCAGGCCTGATATCGAGCGCCGTCTTGAGGTTCTCGCTCCTCCAACACAGCTAACGGCACTCAGGCGTAAAAGAACCCCACGCAAATGGGAAAAAGTGACAGACACCTGCGGCAGGCGCATGCAGCGCACCTGGCAATCGCACGGCAATCTGCGAACGAATGTGCATGCACACTCACTGCGCATGCAGCTCTGCTTTGCCGCTTGCACTGGGCTGCTGTGGTAACTATCTCGTGGCAGTCTCTGCACCGCATCGCGGACAAGCTTTTCTGATACTTATTGCAGCCGTGCTGTTGGCTTCTCCTTTGGGCATTGCTGCCAAGCACTCTCATACCTGTGCTGATTTCTCCTGTCTAGTCGAATCAGGCCGGTAAAAACTCTTTCCGTAATTTTCGCAGATAAACCTGCTTGGGCGGGCTGCTCGTTCACCAAGGGGCACTGGGTAGACGACGAATGTGTGGTGCTACAAAAACCGGCAAATCAAAGGCGACACACACACACACCCCTTGGAGCCTAAAAGAGGTTTGAGCAGCATGTGAAGTCATGCCATGCTGTATGGGTCGCTTAACTGAGCACCTGAAGTCGAACAGCACCGAGGCTGACTGGAACCACTGTACTCCCTCAGCTTGCCTTCGCAGCAGCCCAAGCGAAGCCGAAACGCCTCTGCCGAGGCACATATTCAATCTCTCTGTGCTCGTACTAAGAGAGTCGGAAGAAACCTTCAGACCAACTCAAAGGCGAGGCCGGTACTTCCAGCTGCTGCTTTCAGAGCACCCGCGCACTCTAGCCCAGTAGCCTGCTGTGGACCATCAAGGCCGGCTTTGAGCACACAAGCATGACGCATCGCGTGTGACATGCTGGGCTTGCGGAGAACGCTGCTTCGGCAAAGCGCACTGGCCTTAACAAACTCCACGATCAACAATTGCTCCGTCGACTAAAATCAACTTCACACAGACTGCAAGAAGCTTGGCCCATGACACACAGAATGCTCCTCGACCAACAATCATGGACACCCACTGAGACATGCGCAGTCAGGCAGCCTGAGTGCCTCACAGGGCCTCTTCTGGGACGCTGGGACTGCCGTCAAGGGCCTCTCCAACGATGATATCCTTAGATGTGCGCTGAACCGGCTCCGTGCATAAACAACATAAAAGCTCTGTTTGCGACTGTTTAATGACTCTTAGCTAAACGTGTTGGGGTACTCACGGGCTGAAACGTACCAACTATCACCGGCATCGGGCCGTCAATGTCATTTCCAGATCCATTGGCCGACTGTCGACCATGCATGTGAAAAGATGAAAACACGACGAAGATCGGGCACCCCGACGATGATGCGCGCTCGTCATGGTGACCAAATTGCGGTCCGACTGGGATCATCTTTCTGGCTGCTGCGATTGCTAGGATTATCCTGCGAAATAAGGCCAGTATGTTCGTCTCCTGTGTTCCTGCATGTATTCAGACATTTCCATGTGCTGATTTACGTCTGTATACGTATGTGTGTGTGTGTGTGCGCGCATGCATCTATATGTATATGTATATGTATATGTATATGTATATGTATATGTATATGTATATGTATATGTATATATATATATATGTATTATCACTGACATACAATCATTTCGCAGTGAGCCGAGCAAACAGATTGTGCTTGGACTTGGCTGGCTTGACAAGAACGTGACTTCTGCACGGGTGGCTGCTACGGGAGAAGCTTCCACCTTGCGCCCTCGCCTTCGCCTACTTAAGCCTGCTATGGCTGCATCTTGTCGTTGCTACGACGTTGAGGAAAATCTAGGAACACCTTGGAGAGAGATGGACAAGGGCAGATAGAGAGGGACAGATGGATGGATGGGTGGATGGATAAGCGGATGGGGAGATGGAAACAATTGACAGACAGATAGACAGTTGTAGATAGACGGATAGGTGTGTATGTGTGTATTGATGTATGTATGTATGTATGTATGTGAAAAAATATGTACATCTTTTTTTGGGGGGGCGGCCCTATGCAACTCTCTCCGCAACGACTCCCCCGTAAACTCAAGCCTGTGAAAAGACTGTGTAGGAGTAATTAGTGTACTCCAGAATTGGCGGTCTACGGCTGTTCTGCGAGCTTGTAGATATGAGTATGGGAAGGTAGGTCTGTTAGTGGCAGGGGGTCTGTTGGACTTTAAAAGCCAGTGCCAAGGGAACTTAGTGCACTGTTCCGTCCAGTGGACTCTCCGCCTGCCTGGCCTTAGGCCTGCACCTACCGGACCTCCTCTGTACTGAAAAGACCTAGTAAAACAGCAGTTCCGTGCTATACTGTCTTCATAGGATCGAAGAACGTGCCCGAAAACCTTCAGCTGTGCTTTGTGAATGTGGTGTGTGAAAGGTGGCTGTGAGGTGAGCGCTCTCACTTCTTGGTTGCTGTAAGTGCGGGCTGTCGGGCTGAGCACCTCGGTCTAGTAGGTGCTTTTGAAGTGGAGTATTTTCCGCAGGCTCTGTGAGTGGAAAGTTTCGAGTCTGTCGAAGTCCCCTTTTGTGTCTGTGCTGATTCCCGCCCGTATGTCACGAGCAGAATAAAAACCGCAATGTAAATGCGTAACTTCCACTTCAGTGTGAGGTCGGTGTTGCGCCAGAACTGGTGTAACGAGTGGAAGTGCTTGCGTGCTTTCGCCACAGTGAAGACGTCCCTGTGAGAGGAGCCGTCGCTGCTGAGGATAATGCCAACGCACTTGGCGTGTTGCTCGATTGTAAGGGGAGTGCCGTTTGTGAAGCTGACTGTATTATGTGATGTGGGTGAGCGTAGCAGCACGCACTTCTTGAGGTTCAGGAGGTTGCTGTGAGCCGCCACACGCAGCAGGATGTGGAGCAGTTGTTATGCCCTCTGTGCAGTGCCTGCTATGAGTGCTGTGCCGTCTGCATACGCCAGGTCGTAGAAAGGCTGGTTTTGGCTATACAGCAATGGGAAGAACTCACCGTTGGCTGTGAGTTCCTGGTCTACGTCGTTTCTATATATATATATATATATACACACACACAAACATCAGTACATGTGTACATATATATATATATATGGTACATATATACATGTATGTGTATACATATATATATGTATATACATACCTACGCGTGTATGCGAGTATGTGTGCACTTCTTGGTATTTCTCGTATGTGTGCCCTTATTGGTATCTATACTTGTCTGCATAAACAATAGTCTAGAGGCACACTGATGAAGAGAAGAGGCACAGAGAGACAGACAGAGAGAGACACACAACCGCACACACACACACACACAGACAGTTGCCGTGTCACTTGGAGATTCCTGGAAAGGACTTGGTACTCCTGTTCTACCACCACTGCCGTCACTGCTCTTACCATCATTCGAAGTCGCATTCCCAGAGGTCATCTGTACTGTCTACTCAAGTCCATTTCTGCCGTGGCTCCGTGCTATTTCATCACCAATGGACCAACGCAGCATGATATGATGATTACAACTCGGGCTATTCACACGGTTCTAGGATCCTTGGTTTCGGAATCGCTCCTGCCATGGTCTGCTATTACTTCTAGTATTCTTACACACGTGTCGAATAATTGTCTTTAGTTACTACTCTTCATATGTTTACAGACAACATGAGCATCGCTTCAGCAGAATCGTCATCGGTATTGGCAGCCAGTTTGTTACTCCTTGCCTTGTGTGCTTCTCGCTGACTTTCTTCTTGCTTCTGTGTGCAGTTGCGCATCCGTTTCTGCTTTCTTTTCCTAATTACATGCTCTTGCAATGACTGCCGTTTGATGGCTGCCAAAAAGTTCCATCCTTACGCACATGATATTACCCCTAGCCAAGTGTGACTCGCGAGCATTGTTTCATTCTTCCTGCGTTCCGTGATCGCCTACTTTTCGCGCGTGGCTATCTCTGCTTTCCTTCCTTCATGCCTTTCTTCCTTCCTTCCGTCCTTCTGTCCTTCCGTCCTTCCGTCCTCCTCGGTAGATCGAGGTCTCTATTCTCTGCATTCGGGTCCTTGCCTACTCTGCTGCTTGCGGCCAGAAAAAAAAGCAAGAACAAGCCAGCTATTGCTGGAACAACACTCAGAAATGGCCAAGAGGGCCAAGAGGCCTGCTTCTTTCGCAGCAGGGATGCTGGCAAGCAGTGTCGATTCAGCTCGCCTGCATATGCATGCCTGGGCTGTGCTTGGAACGAGCGCAGACGACACACCACAATAATTCGGTTATGCAGAGAAGTCGCCCAAGCCCTGGCTTGCTGAGAAGCACTACAATTGCGAGTGTCATGAGCAAAATCGTGACCTGAAAGTGGTCTCATGCTCCGGTGAATTGTGTGTGGCTGGGGCATGCCCCTAGGTAATGTACACAGACATGCATCAGCATGTTGCAAGCATCAGGTATTGCACAACAATGATTCTCTCGATGCGCATCTGGTCAGCTGGAGAGCACTAAACACATCGGGGAAAAAAATCCCGATGTGCTTACTGCCATTGCGATTGTCAATCCCCTGGTCTTCCGTTTCTCCACCGAGCCTCCACGGCTGAAGTACCAACAGCCCTACCCATGTGCAAAGGCCCAAACACTGAAAAGCAGCACAGGTGGGCTGAGGGGGTGGAGGGCATGAGGTATCCATGCTTGAGTTCGGTATGTAAGTGCGTGGCAGAGTGTACTCGTCGCAGCAGTCGCAAGTCGGGTGGTCTGATGCCTGCACACTTTGCGGCTCAGGAGCCGCAACGTAAAGTATCTAGAATTGCCTTGACGCATGCAACATAGCCCAGGCCGAAGAGCCACCTCAGGTGTTTGCTCTCTCGGTTGCACACTATTGCTAAAAACCCGCAACAACAGCTGTGCTAGGTCCGCGGCAGCACGACCAAACGGGCCATGTGCACGCATTACCCAGCAGCTCCAAGCATGTCTGCATGTGCGTAAGCAGGTAATCAAGGAAGTCGGTCGGTTAGTCTTTGCATGGTTGGGTCAGTGGCTAAGGCGGCGAAGTTTCTATGCAGGTTGGTACGTGTATGCCAGCATGTTAACAACGATTCCATGTCTCGATTTCTCTTAGATTGCTTGACATCATGCACACGTTAGAAAGAATCTGTGAGCAAGCGGGAAAGCAAGCAAGCCGTTCCAGAAAAGCTGCTCGAGCTGTATAGCATCACATTCGGCAATGTGCTGGCGCGTCCTGGAATCACACCAGTTTGTTCCACTCAGAATGAGTGCAGGTCCGACAAGGGCATCTTTGGGATCGGGTGCTGCAGCGAAGAGATTCCGACCGACAGAACCTTAGAACATCAAGAAGAAAGGAATGAAAGCTGTCCACTCACTTGGGCTGCTGCCAGCATGCAGGCAAACACGACGATGGAGATCAGAGCACTCACCTGGGCAGGCATTGACAAAAGCAACGAGACATACCTGACATACCTCACACCCCCGCGAGGGGATCTGGCTAGAAAAATGCCTTCTGTCTACTGAGAAAAGCGGCAGGTTCCGTCCGGCGCCATGTTTGGGCCCGATCGGTGTCCAGTTCTGACAAGAAGATGGTCTTATGTCTTCTAAGGATTCCGAGGCGAGCACGTACACTGCATGGCCACCAAGCATCTCCATACCCATCAGAAGCAGTACCTGCGAAGTTGCTTTCCGTCTTGTGCAGGAGTGTGTACACTGAGCCTCCGACCACGGCAAAAGTGGATCTCGTGAGGCTGGACATGTTGAAAAAGTCCCTGCCGTGAAGCAGCCCCATGAAAGCAAAAACGGTCTCATTTTTTTGAGGCTCCAACCGTACGACGAAGAAGAGAGAGCGAATCGCAAACAAAGCCAACGCCGACGAACTGTCAGGACAACTCAGATGGGCCACATGCTTAGCATACCAGCTGCAAGAGCAGGCATGTTCACCTGAAATCCAGGAAAGCATCTTGCGATGCTTCAGACTTGGCTAGGACAACCTCAATAGACGAGATGGCAGGAGCTTAAGAACAGCCGCATGCAATGCTGCACCGACCCAAAGGCATCAACACTCAGCAGCTCACGTCGAAGTTCAAGGTAAAATTCAGCGAAACGAGACAGATCCTTAGTCCAACGAAAGCTCCAAAGCCATCAACACTATGCCTGGGCGGGCATTGCCCAAGTCTCAGCCCTGCACAGTACCACACCAAGTAAGGTCATGCGAACCTTGAAGGCGAGCAGAACTTGAAACTCCAAACCAAAACTTGTCTTACGAGACCTTGTAAGCCGAGCCTTGCCCTTCACCTCCACAAGCCAAGCCTCGAGACAGAAGCTTCTGGATGGAATTTGCTTCTCTTCCAAGCCTGGCCTCGCCCTCTTCGTCATAGAATTCTGCCAGGCGCTCTCCCAGCAAGCTGCGCAAGAGCCGCAGCACCTGCGCCAATCCCACACCACCGTTTTTCTCTGCAGGCCGAAGCAATACCAAAAGGGGGAGTTGCACCGTGCACTCCGAAACGCCGCCATGCGAGATGCTTCCAAGCCTGCAAATTCCTGCACAAACTTTCAGGAAGGTTTTTCGATACGAAGGAGAGCACGGCTCGCGCAGGATCCTGCGTACACTAGTCCAGAACCCAGCATCCAGGACAGAGCTCGGACGGCAACCGGACTGATCCAGTGGACCTTCCGGCATCGTCGGGCGTGGCACTGCGACGGCAGGCAGGTGCTCAAACTTGACGGGGCCACGCCACACACAAAGCCGAGAAAGCGGAAGGTCATGGTGCTGATCATCGAGATATAGAGCGCCTTTTGCATATGAGCCTGGTCCCGCTTCAGTGGTGCGTAACTGTCGCCTTGCTCATCAGCCGGTGGGGTGTATCCAAGCTACCTGGGGACTCAAGACTTCACAGGAATCTGCGAGCCACATGAGACATGTCCGGATGCTGATTGCAATAACGAGGCTGAACACCAGCTGCATCACAAAGACCTCGACAGCCCAAACCCGACGCTTCATGGAGCATCAAAACCTCTGTTGGAACTTGCGAGGGCCCAACATGATCTGCTGAGTAAAGGAGCTCCATGAGATACCTTTGCAGACGATCGCTTACATAAACAAAACGGAACAATGTCACACTCGACCGCTTTTTTAAGTCACAGTGCCCGGACAACCAGGACACCCCAGCGGTCGCACCAGCGCAGACCCAAACCTGCACTGCCAGAAATGCTTCAGTAAAAATGCTGAAATCTTTCTATTACCTGCAAGGCTCCCCCACAAAACAGAAAACTGATTTCCAGGAAATCATGGAAAACTAGACAAAGCTCCAATTCGATGGAGGAATCTTGCACCACCGACGACATCGCCCATCTCCCTACTCGGGCTTCACAGACCACAGGCACAGTGAAAGCTTTTGATTGGATGGATGCAGACTCAACATGATCTTTCGGTCAAGAGAAAGTATAGTACTTGAGGAAGGCCAATTCCTCGGCTTGGGTAGGAGGTGGTTTATGTGCACGAGCCTCAAAAATATTAACACTTGACTCCTCGACTGTTGCAAGTCACAGAAACCGGTGAGTCTGATGCCTGAAGCAAAACTCCTGTGGGAGGGGTCCGTCATCGGAAGCTGAACACATCGCTCCGCGCTGGCACTGCCAAACCGTCATCCGCTTCGGATATCATCTTGCAGGAATATGTGGCATGGCCATCCACTGTCTTTTCTGGACATAACGACGTGACCAGTGAGCTGGGTTGACTGCAGTACACTGGTCTGATGCTGAGGCAAACTCGGAGCAGCCGTTTGAAGCTTCTGCCCGTCAGACAACATCCTTCGCATTCTGGATGGACTAAGCTACTCGGGACTTACCATGTGAGGGTCTCCCCTTATCCCGCCCCTTCGACGGTGGTTGACGCCCTCGACCATGGCGGTTGTCACATCTTAAACCCACTCTCGAAGCGAAAGCGGACCCCACAAAAGCGACAAGCAAAAACGCAAAGCCAAAATGAAGAAAACACAGTCGAAGGCAGAGCCGATCCAACAGCATGCATACATTGGAAAGCAAAAGGAGCAGTCAACAACTAAAAGCGAGCTAGCACAAACGGCATCAGACAAATGGTGGAGTGCAAATCACACGTAAAACGGAACCAGGATTCAAAAAACTAAATACAATGATCATCTGCTGATCAGGAAAAGAAGCTCAAGTGCCAGCCCCACGCCTCCACACAGCAGGCCATTGCAACTGCCAGCCATATGAAAAGCACGCTGGCCTTGGAGTCTGGAGAGGAGAGACGAATCATCCCGAGTTCCTGTGGGCGCAACATGTGAGCGCCGCGACTCGGGCAGGTTCTGGAGCAGCACTGCATCCTCGGAGTGTCGAATTCCACGCTGCACTCGATGCTCGTGTTGCTCGTGTTCTCATGTTGCAGAGCTGGCCCTCTTTTTCGCACGACTCCACTCTGTCACCCAGGCATCATTGGCTGTGTCGCAATGCTAAGGCCTCGCAGTTAGAGCGAACTGCCAGCTTCAGCCACAACTACGCAAGCCCAGTCTCTAAATGCATCTACGCGGCCATACTCCTTGCGATATGCCCCGGCTTCTGGCTTCCAAGCCATGCATTCGGAGGCATCGGCATGTCGCAAGCGTGCCTGATAACATCCCACTGTGCACATGTTGCTATTGTGGGCCAGACAAGGCAGAAAGTAACCACCCACATTGAAACATTTGGGCCTTCTCGAGCGTCCGTTGCATCAAATACTCGAAACCTCTTCAGCTGGCGCAGAAGAGTTCAGAAGAATGTTTGGTGGTAGCGACGTCTGTTTTCACATGCCGGGGACTTGCGGAAGAAAAGCTCATCATCATCAGAAATCTTCTTCAAGCATGCATCACCAGTACGGAAAGAACCCAGCGCGCAGACTGAACCTGTAACATCGAAAGACAACACCGCTTGGAATAACTGGAACAGGAAATTATCTAGGCGTTCCTCGCTCCCCTGCTGTGAACTTCTCTTTGTACTGTCATACTTCAATGCGTTTTCGTCTTTGAATTTCGGCTCTGTGCGCTGTCATGAGCTTGAACTGAGCTGACTATGCTGCTGGAATTAAGACATCCCCGACATGGACAAATCATATGCTGTAATTCTTGTCGAAGCGACTGGATTGAGATGCTTTCACACGAAAATCGGAGCCATCTCGCTGGTGCAGAACATCGCGACCCTCCCTGTTGTATTTCACATCGTGGATCGTCCTCGGCAGCGGTCTGGGTTCGGGCCGATTGGCCAGTGCACCGCCGTTCCAGCAACATTGAGGCTAGGGCAATTTCAGAACGGGCTCCTCCTCCTAGCAGCAATCTTCAAGGAAAGCATGACCAGGCTTGCGCTTCTCCCACATGCACATACATGCAAATGCTCCGTGCAGCGAGTCATGCAGTAGGTCTATTACAAATACTGGCGTGCTGCGGTACCATGCCATCGCTTGCTCGGCCTCTTGTCCACTGAACACCGTCACGACACCACTGCAGCCAACGGACTACCCCATACCGAAGCACAGATCAGTTGCAGCAACACAAGGACTCTATACTGTAACATGCACTGGGGTTTACACCCGAGGGGTACGACCCCAGTTGTAAATCTGACCTTGCCTGAGGTCTGCGCACTTTGCGCATGCGTTGTTTTCGCTGAACACCATGCGAAGCTTCGTCGCCAGCAACATGCTACAGGCCACCCCTACATGCCACGCCATTGACGCATGGACAGTCGGATTTCCGAGCAGTTCAAAATCGCCGCAAGACTGTGTAAAAGTTGTCATGGGCAGCCGCAGGAGTCCGATCGCTTATTCATGCGTATTCCCAACCTTCATACCTAAACCAATGAATCTGATGCCTGGTTGACGTTTCAGTCGATCCGTCTTCTTAACATGGTCGAGCCAGCTGTTCTAATGAGGCAGAACACGTCG